GCCTTACTAAGTCATGGCAACGCATTAGGATCTCGTTCTCACGCGTTAATATGGTGTGGCCACTCATTACTTTCATTTATATGGAATGCCACCAGCAGCGCTCTGCACACAGGCTATTACCCACCTGGATAAGAAAGGAGAAAGTCACAAGAAAATAGGTGGAAGAAACAGGAGTTTCCAAACAATGATTAAAAGAATGTTTTCAAAAATGATTAAAAGAAAATGGGCCTCCTAACAACCACCTGGAAGACCTGGTAGACACCAAAACTGCCCCCATTAGATAAGCAGAAAGCTTTTATCTTTGAGAGAGAGGAGAAAATCAAGCTCCACTCAAGAGGAGTCCAGTCCAGACCTCAACATCACTCAATGAGTGTGTTTACATGTACTTCATAATCCGATAACTGCAGAAAACCAGATTTTGTCAGTAATCTGATCAACGCGTTTACATACACTTGACTAATCAGATAATGGGAAACTCCAGGTCTACATGAGTCAGGCAGCAATCAGATTTCTGCTTTGCAACCAGCCAATAAACTCACAGAAGACGACGCAACATAAACGTAACGTAAAACTCAAACTGGCGCCAGTTTACCTGAAAATACGAACATACATCATTTAGAAGATGAAGAATATTCAAATCCTTCATTTTGTCACGCATGTAGTTTCAGTGTCGCTCCAAAAGTGTTTTGCTGCCATGTCGTGGCAACGCTGCTCTTATTTCCGGTCTGTTTTCACACGTGTAGACGGAGAAATACGAAAGAAATCAGAGTAAGAGTTTACATACACTGAGAAATCTGATTACTGAGCTAAAATCCAGCCTCTTTATCCGATTTCTTGATCGGATTTCTAGATCAAAGCGTGCTTTAACATGACCATTTCGAAAATCAGATAACTGCAGAAATCTGATCATGATCGGATTATTGAGTGCATGTAAACGCACTCAGTGTGTTCGGATTACTTCAGAAAAAGCTAAACCAACTTCCAAGACTGAACTTTGGAGGTGTGTCTGCAGATTTCTTGAAAGCGAGTCTCCTGAAAAGAATGGAAGCTGTAACAAAGGCAAAGAGTGACACACTGAATACTGGAAAATGGATTATATTTAGTTGTTGAGGCTTGAGTGCAATTTACTGTTAGATATATGCTTTTGAAAAAAGAATAAATTGTGCTTAATGGCTGTTTTGACAATGGCAATGAAATAAACAAATGGTGGTCTTAGACTTTTGCACAGTGTATCACTGAATGTGTCGGGGATTTTTTGGATCGTGAGAAGCAGGAAATGCAACCAGTTTCTTCAAAAATGCAACCAGCTTCAAAGCCTGAACTTCGGAGATATGGAAAAACGTCCCGGCAGATTTCTTTGAAAAAACAGACACAGTCACTCCAGCCGGCCTTTTCTCTTTGTGAGCTTTGAGTTTAAATTTTGACCAGACTGCATCTGTAGTTCAAACAAAGCAGCATTCTTTAACCAGTGGAGCCAGTGTGTGTTTGGGTTTGACTGATAACAGCTTCACTCCCAGCCACACTAAAACAAAACAACAGATCCACATTCCTCTCAGCACTGAGTACGTATGGGCACTCAAGGTGAAGCTAAAGCTGCACTCGAGCTGCATTCGCCTTCAACAGAGGAGTATGTAAGGGTGACGCTATCATGATTGGATAGAAGAAGCATTCATGAATGCTGGGTTGGTACTTTGCGAAAACTCCAACAGTTTCAGAACAATGAGCCTCATTCAACAAACGTTCTTAAGAAGAAATTTCTTAAAACCCACTTATGCAGTTTAAATGAGGAAACATTCACCAATGTTTTCTTATTTGGGGTTTGTTCTTAGGTAAGAACAGAATCTACACACACTCAAGAGCACAAAGGTCCAAACAATTCTGCAGTTTAGGAACGCGTCATGTATCCGACGTAGGGACTTTCTCAAGAACAAATTTGAGAAAAAACTTCGGAAGATAGTAGTGAATGAGGCCCAATGTTCCTCAACGCACAACTGCAAAGAATTAAGGGATTCCACCATCTACAGTCCATAACATTGTTTAAAAGTTCCGAAAATCTGGAGAAATCTCTAAATACTGACATGCTTCTGAAATAAACAACCATATGAGCTTGGGAATACTTCGGAAAACTTCAGTAAACACAGGTCGAAGCTGCATCTACAAATGAAAGTGAAGACTCTACTATGCAAAGCAGAAGCCATAAATCAACAACATCCAGAAACACCACCGACTTCTCTGGGCTGAGGCTCATGTGAGATGGACTGAGGCTCATGTGAGATGGACTGACACTAAGTGGAAATGTGTGCTGTGGTCTGATAAGTTCACCTTTCAAACTGTTTTTGGAAATAATGGAAGTTGTGTTCTGCAGGCCAAAGTGGAAAATGACCATCCCGATTGTTACCAGCGTAAAGTTCAAAAACAAGTTTTTTTCTGTTGTGGAATGGGGGTTGTCATAGTGGGTCAGTGAAGGCACCATTAACTCTGAGGGGTAGATAAGCATTTTATGGCAACATATGCCATATTTTTTTTGAAGGTAGAGTAGATGTGTCCTTTGCTACCTACATTTCCTATAATCCCCGCACTGGCACTGGGAAAAGTGAGAAATTTGTGATTGTGATTTTATTTTTGGCATAAAATTGTTAGCGTACCTTTCATCTTACTGTAAATAAAAACTATTTTTAAAACAAAATATCTGCATTTTGCTGTGTAAACATGTTTGTACAGTGGCTGTTAAAATAACATTATTTTTAATATAATTGAATTACAGCCTATTTTAATAGAATTGAATCATAGTTCCTTTTACTTCGGTTTATTTCTAATATTTACTTCTAAGCATCCAACTATTGCATTTTTAAATGACTATAGCAGGGGGGCAAGCCAGTTTTTCACATCTCAGCTTTAGCTGGTTGTCCAAGCTAATCGCATTCTTCTTTTAGTATTTTATTTCATTTGAATATTTTTGTTTATTATGTTAGCTAATTTAGCTTATGTAAGAACTTGTCTGCTGCAACCTAGCTTACATTAACTAAATTAGCAAACATATAATAAAGACCAGCCATACCTCCCTGCTAGAAAAACATCATCACAGACCAGCATAGCTGGTGTGCTTTGAATTAAACTAGCATGGAATTCATGTTGGTCTGTGCTGTTTTCAGCAGGAATTGTATTAAAATAAAATACAATACTAAAAGAACAGTATCTTAGCACAGCTTAATTAAGCTAGCTGTCCAAATTGCCCTAATCTTAGCTAAACAACTCTGTCTTCTTTTAGTATTTTATTTCATATGAGAACAAGTAGCTCTTCAGCATTTGTTTGCTAACTTGGCTAACGCAAGCTAAACGATCTACTCGGTTGCAAGCTAAGCTAATATTCAAGGTAAGCTAATGCTTTGATTTTTTTGAGTGCATTTGTTTTGCTATCTGTGAGGCAAATGTTTATGTAAATTATCACATTTTATTTAACCTCTTATTGGAGGGTATATTTTGGTTTGTCCATCTGAATGTACATGACCAAATCGTAAGGCAAATTATTCAGTAACTGCATGAAATAAATGTAAGTTTTTATTTTTTTTGTAAAAGCTCCCCTTAAATTAACAGAACATGTGTTGTATGATCACACATATTGCCATATGCTTACAATTTACTGCTGAAAGCCAAAAATCTTAGACGCTCTTTGTATTTTTTATAAAAATAATTTTTACAGAGCAGATCACTGAAGAGACGCCATCTGTTTATAGTTTATAGCCCAGATTTGTGGAAAAAAGGGTCGACTTTCAGTAGAAAAAAAAAATCTGAGTTCAGCTTCTTTTATTATAAGGGTTTAAAATTATATCACCCATCTATTTGACTGGAAAGAAGACAGTTACAGCTCTCATACGACCCCCACCTTTAGAATGTAGCTTATGAAATATGAAAGTTATGAAGAATATGACAAAGTGCGCTTTGGAACCACCGGTGGTCTCAAGGAGTTGAAAAGGTTAAAAAGTTCATTATGCTGGCCTTTTTAAACGTATGTTTTTTCCTGGGAAGAAAGACGCCAAGGGTTAACGCTAACATAGATAAATGCTAACAGCTAGCAGTGAGCTGTGGGTGTCTTAGTGATGCCGTAACGTAGCGCTATGCACTTTGGTTGCGGGTCCTTTCATAACAATGTTCCCTTATAAGTCCAATGACCAAAAAGACAGCATATGCAGCACATTCACTTTCAATTACTGTTAGCAACGTTAGCCTTTATGCCTGGATTATTCCTTTAATAGTAGCCTAGTAGAAAGTGGCCTTCAGTTTCAGACACAGTCGTTTTTGTTTACAGGCTTTATAAGGGGCCTAAATCTGTCTTTGTTTTATGATACAGTGTTCTAAAAGTACTGATAACATCCATTATTTACTCAGAAAAGCACATTGCGATGGAATTAATCACAATAACAAGATAAAACAGTCATATTTCCAAGATTAAACAGGCTGTACAACCAAGGTTTTTAGGTTGTAGCACTGGTGCTAGCAAGGTAAACAATTCAATCAATTTCCTTCAGCAAAGGAAATCAGCATTTTAGACAGGCTAATGCTGACAAACACTGTTCTGTTTATAAATAGAACCGTCAGATATGCAGGGAAGAACCGCAAACGCACAAGTACATTAATATTTATCTTTGTTCAGAATATTTTTAGGTGCAAGTGCAAGCAAAGTGTCACACTGTACAGCCACGATCTCTAGAAGACCTAAAGGACTATTAGCATGTCGCTAACTGATAACGATGAGGCTCCAATCTGAAGGAACAAAGCAAACTGTTTATATACGTGTCTGTCTTTGAAAGGGTTTCGTCTCAAATGGCCCATTTAGAAGCATTAGCAGTCCCAGACAGCTGTATCTGGGTTACCCGTGACAGGTGATAACGCGGTTCCCATCAAAATCACACAGTTCCTGCTTTCACAGCCCGTTTTGAGAATTCGAGAAAGCTGCTGAAGGGAGAAAATGAGCTGCAGAGCAACGAGGCGGCACATCGAGGTCGTTTTTAAAATTCTGAAAGACTTTAATTACAAACCAAATAATAATAATAATAAAAAAAACAATATTACACAGACACCAAAATGAACCCTAAAAAAACGACTAAAATGCAACAGTGATGGTGAAGTTGGTGTCAGAAGTTCACAGCAGAAACACATGAGATATACAGGCAACGATAAAGCACTCAAATTCAAAAAGCTGAAAAAGCAAAAAAAGCACTAATCAAGCACTGACAAGATGATAAAAAAAATTAAAAATTAAGTTCAATTCAAAGAACGAGAGAAAAAAAAAAGTCCTTCATGCTTCCGTGTTTGTAAGATACATACATAATATATATACACAAAAATGTGACATCAATTGTTCAGCCTTATTTTTCTTAATCACATGTTTATATGTATATATTTATACTATGTACAGAGAGACTCGTTCGGTCAAGTGACACTTAAGGCCTCGATTCAAATCACACATCAGGCCGACGGAACAATGTGACGAACATGATCCGCTGTTCCGTAAAGCAGGATTTCTCGATGAAGTCGGAATGTCGGAAAGAAGGAATGTCCTTTAACAACATCCTTCTCCTACTGGACAATGCCTCACTTTTGACTCTTCACAAGAAATAGCTGGACCAAACATGCTAATCAGGCTAACAGTGAGTAGAAGCTAGCAATGCATAAAGCTAATAAATGGCTGTTCGTTTTCATTTATTGTTAGCAACGTTAGCCTTTATGACTGGATTATTCCTTTAACAGTAGCCTAGAAGTCAGCAGTTAGCTTGATGATGCTCAGTAGTGGCTCTTCTTTTTTCCATTACTGTTAGCAACATTAGCCTTTGTGACTGAATTCTTCCTTATCCTGTCATCAATTAGCATGACTGCATTTGTATGAAGCTAAGTGTTGGCTGTTGGTTTTCATTTACTGTTAGCAACATTAGCCTTTTTCAGCTGAGCACTTCCTTAATAGTAGCCTAGCGGCTGGGAACTAGCACAATTTCATTAGCATATGATTTGGCTACTCATTTTCATTCACTGTTAGCAACATTAGCCTTTTTGACTGAACTTTTGGTTAATGGTCAGAAATTAAAACAGTGTCATTTGCACAACACTAAGTTTTGGATGTTTGTTTTCAGTTGTTTTTAGCCACATTAGCCTTTTTGACTGAACACTTCCTTGACAGTAGCCTAGTGGCTGGGAATTAGCACAATTTCGTTAGCATAAGAGTTGGCTACTCAATTTCATTTACTGTTAGCAACATTAGCCTTTTTGACTGAACTAGTCTTTAATTGCAGCCTAGTGTCCAGAAATTAGAACCATGTCATCTGCACAATGCTAAGTTTTGGCTGTTTGTTTTTATTCATTATTAGCAACCATGATAGCAAGAGGACAGTGGACCGCCGTTAGCAGAGCTGGTGGTTCACTGACGTTTTGCGCTTGTATGCAGGACAGTAATCTGGGTGGTCCGAGGGTGGACCAGCAGTGGCAAACAGTCAGTGGGGTGTTGACCTTATCAAGCCAGCGGACCGATATGTGCTCGCTGTCTGGGAACGTTAGCCATTTTGATTTAACTCCTTTAACAGTCTCCTTTGAGAACTTGGCCTGATGTTATTCACATAATGCTAATTGTTTTATTTACTGTTAGCAACATCCATCTTTTTAAACTGAACACTTCCTTTAATAGTAGCCTGGTCGCCAGGTATTATCATGGTCTCACTTGTATAACGTTTAATTGGTGGCTGTTCGTTTCATTTATGCTTAGCAACATTAGCCTTTGTGACTGACCTGCGCCTTTCACATATAATTCATTTAATTCATAATTTCCTTTAGCATAGCATCAGAGTTGGCTACTTGTTTTCATTGATTTACTTTGTTTTCATCCATTAAGAAGGCTAATTGTTAGCCTAGTGGCCAGCAATCAGCATTATGTCATTTGCTAAGGCAACATATTCCCTAAACGATCCAGCCAACAGGAAAACACAGCTTTATGAATCAAGAGAAAGCTTTGAGAACGAACGTGGAGAAAATCCAAACGAAGAGGTTACAGCGCTTCCTTAATATTCTCAGACTGTCCCGTCCTTCACAAGGTCAGCGTGTTCCAGCTAATGAGCGGTGGAAGGACCGCTTTAGCCCCAGAGCGCTAATTCCCGTCTGACTGAGCTTCCAGTCAGGAATCAAACTGGGTTACACTGAAAACCAAAAATCTAAACGTACACTTTTCCCTCTTACTCCAGCTGCAGCTAATCAGTCGAGATGGTCTGCTTCTGTAGTTTTGTTCTGGAGCTACAAGGCTAATGTAGCTAAGTAATGAAAGCTTATAGCCACTTGTTAGCACTGAGCAAAGTGCATTCCTGAATCACCACAGATTCGCCTCAAACTGTGTCGAGTTATTAATAGACTTGCTTGTGTGGTTTCTGACACTGTATGACATAAAAATGGACATAATTACATCAAAAAGTACATTAGAGTAGCTAAGAACTGTAGTAGCAAGTCTGAATTATTGTACATGTGTACTGATGATGCTTTTTCAAAGCTAAAGTGGAAATGGTGTCTGTTCTAGGAACTGATTTGTGCTACATGGTGCCACACGAATAGAAAATGTTGCTGAGGTGCAACCTGAAAAACTACATTACCCAGCATGCCTCGCTGTGGCTGAAGACTGTGGAGAAGGATGTTCTTATAGATTCAAGGACAGCCAGTGTGACAAACGATGATTTACAGGAGCATGTTTGTGTGTGTGTGTGTGTGTGTTTGTGTGTGTGTGTTGGCCAGCTTAAATGTGTGTGAGAGACGCTGTGTGTGTGTGTGAGAGAGACGCTCGAAGGATGGAGGAATAACTCACTGCCCTCGAGTCAGACACCATTTAACACGCTGACTCATGCACACACACAGTAAGGTGGATGCGGCCCTATCTGTGACTGTATGTAGGCCTACTTAGGTTTAATGGGAGACTCCACCAGTTTTTCAACATTTCTGCATAATTAAGTGGTTAAGGCGTAAACAGAGTCATTCAGAGAGGTTTGGTGAAATGCTCTGAACTGGAGAAGCTTGCTGAGTCAGAACTGTTCACAGTGGTGGTTATAGAAACCAGACGTCCACCTCTAAAAGCCCCCTCAAGTCATTACACCGCTGATGCCTGAGATACTGTTGTACAGTAGTTTTGATAAAGTTTTGGCCTAAAACGCATTTGTAAAAGAAGACATGCAGGCCTAACACTCACAGATAAAGATGCCAAAAAGAGTTCTTCACACAGTGCCACAGCAGAACCACTTCTGATTCCCTAAAGAACCCTTCAGTGGACGTAAAGCACAGAATTACAGCGTTTTTGTAAATGAGAGCGAGTGAAGGAACTTCTTAAAGTTTTAAAGAAGCACCACATGAAAAGTATGTGAAAGTTCTTCAAACCCTTGAAAGGTTCTTCACAATCAAAAAGCGGTTCTCTAGGAAAAGAAAAGCTCTTTGAACAACGCCACAGAACCACTTTAGGGCTCTCAAAGAACCATTTCTGTAAATGGGATTTGTGAGTGTGAAGAATCTTTAAAGAACCACCATAAAAGAATGGCTCTCGCAAGAACCCTTAAAGTTAACCCTTAACCTTTAAAAGGTTCTACACAGTCAAAAAATGGTTCTTTAGGAAATCTAAAGCACTTTGAACAATGCCACAGAAGAACCACTTTTGGGTTCCTAAAGAAACATTTCTGTAAATGAGATTTGTGAGTGTGAAGAACCTTTTTAAAGTTTAAAGAACCCCCAAAAAAGTAATGGCTCTAGCAAGAACCATTAAAGTTAACCCTTAACCTTTAAAGGTTCTTCATAGCCAAACATCTCACAAAAACGGTTCTTTAGAAAAACAGAAATGGTTCTTTTTTCATATTTGCCGCTAATTAACCATCATCAACATTACGTGTCGGTTCTCTGGTGGTTTTGGACGGTAAATAAAATGGCTATATTTGTGTTGTAGTCATGGCGACCCCTGGTTCCTATCACCACCACTGTAAAGAAATCTGAGTCTCTACAATCAACCATTTCACATTAAACCACTGACTGACCTTGTTTATCCCTCAAACTCTGAATTATGTGGAAATTCCCCTTTAAAACGACTACAGTGCTACTACATCTTGGAGAAACAGTTCGACTTGTGCAATGGATTGTGGGTTTTGAAGTCCATGTGATTCACTTATCCTAAACCAGCTCACTTCTTGGTTTCACGTGACAGATTTTGTGGGCAATTGCAACTACATTCCATGATCAGCCCATCTAACTTCTTATTTACAATATACAGAAGTATAGACATTTATCACAGGATCATTTTTTCATGTAAGAAAAATAAAATGTGTACATATATTGCATACAGACACCTCACACCAAAAATATATATATATATATATTTATATATGTATATACACATACATACGATCTCGCTCTCTCGGTCTTTCTCTTGCTCAGAGAACAGTTCTATCAAGCTTCCACCCTCAACCATGTGATAAATGTGTGTGTGTGTGTGTGTGTGTGTGTGTGTTGGGGGGTGCAGAGAATGAACAGATATAAAACTAAACGTGTAAAAGAATGGATATATTTAACTGTGCAGCCATGACAACCATCTGCGATGCATGTTTATAAATACGGACTAGACTCATTAGCCATGTCAGATTAGTGATAATGTGCCATTTCAATGCAGTGATTACCATCATTTTCTATACTTCGGCGTTTTTCAACCTAATCTTCATTTGCGTACGTGCAGCATATGGCTGATCACCACAGACCATAATTTAGACGCATAAAAACAAAGAACAGAAAACCCAGTTCACTTAAAACAGACATAATTGAAGCTAATGGGCAGATGCTACAGCAACTGCCCATTGGCTTCCATTGTAAGTACATCTTAAGTCAACGGTTTTTCTGTTCTAGTAAGTTCATGGGAATTTTTGTGTGTGGTAATTAACCATATGGTACCGATACAGCAAATACAAGACGACACTGAAAAACGCTGCACTGTTCCTTTAAGAAGGAACGTCCACATGTCCAGTACATACAGCCTTCGGCCTTCACTACAATGGGGTTTATCCCTAGCTGAACTATGGTTGCTACCACTGAGAAGTACCACCCTGGAACGAATAAATAAGTAAGATTTGATCATCAAATGTGCATAAACGACCCCCTCCAGCACAACGTATACATCAATTTTCTCCTTCTTGTTTATTGAATGTCAAATAATAAATTCATGAGGACCTCCAGGGCAGAATAGCTGTAACTGCAAGAGATAATAGGGATTGAAATAAAAGCTAATACGCAAACAGTTGGCGTCAATCAGTTCATGCATCCATTCATCCATTAACTCAGGGGTGAACTCTGAAATAAGCCAAATACGGTGCGATTCGCTGGTCGTGATTCAACACAAACGGAATGATTCACTAGCGAATCACTAAAAAATGCAAACCAATCGGGACTAATTAAAAGAGCGCGCGAGATCTGACACCGCGATAAGGGTTAACGACGGGAAATGAGGTCATCAAGGCACGGCCAGTCGAGCGCAAATCATTTACAGATGGAGAAGACAGATTCCAAAATGATTCACTGATTCGCTGACTCACTGCATGCTTTAGAGGGGCGATTACGACGGTGATATTGTGACACTGTGATTATTAAACGCAGTAAGATTGAATTATAGGCACTACGTAACTCTGAAGTGTTATGACGGTGATTCACAAGCAAAATACTGCTGATAGTGGTCAGTGCATTCAAAGCAGAGTGAAAGTTGTTCTATTAAGCTGAAAGGTCAATGGATTTAAAGGGGTACTCCAACGTTTTTTGACCCCATCTCCATCTGCTGCAGCTGTAGCATACAGTCCATTACCACCACCAATAATTTAGACGCATTTCCCCAAACTTAGCAAACACCATTCAAAACTCACTCATAATTTAAGTCAGGTGCTTCAGCAAATGCACATTGACTTCCAAATGGAGCGGGTAAGTCTGATTTCCAACACTGCCCACTGGCTTCTATTCTAAGTCTGTTTTCAGTAACTGTCCACTGACTTCCATTTTAAGTCTGATTTCCAACACTGCCCATTGGCTGCCATTGCAAGCGATTTCCTAAACTGCCCATTGGCTTCTGTTTTAAGTCTGTTTTCTGCAACTGTCCATTGGCTTCCATTTTAATTCTCTCAGCAACTGCCCTTAGTCTTTCGGTGTTGGCAGGAATGCACCGATATGGGAGTTGTGGGTTGATGCCAATATCTGATATTTTTGTTTATATATCTGCCAATGCCGACACATGCATATTTATAAAATGAAGAAAGCGAAACTACCTGGATTAGCATTGCAGAAAATATATCATTTATTTCTATAGGCTTATCAATACAGTGAAATTAGTAAAATGCAGATATTCTCGTGCAGTTATTGCAGTCCAGCAATGAATATGCCATCAGCGTGTGCCCCTAATTAGAAGTGAGCTCAGGTTTTGTGCCTTTTTGTTAAATTCAGGGAAATTGTGGCCGGTGGTAATCAACTGCATGCTATAGATACAGCAATTAAAGATTAGGTTTAAAAAAAAAAAGAAAAAAGAAAATGATGCCCACCCTATGCCACATATGCAGCACATTCACACGGCAGCCTTCATTATAATGGGGTTTGTCGTAACTTAGCATAGCAATTTAGCAAAAGTGCATTCAAAGCACTCTAATTTGCTGAATGGTGCTGCCATTGAAAATGCACTGGCTTCACATAATACAACAAACTGCAGCGGCTGAGATCAAGATTATTATGTGTGCAATTAACTGGTTGGCTAACAGCACCAAATCTAGACCTCAGCTCACAGCGAGTGGATACTGAGAGCAAGAGAAAGCGAGGGAAAGGAGAACGACGAAAGAGTGCAAGTTCTGATGAAACGCGCTCTCACCACTGGAGGAAATAAACGAATGAAAACAAATGGAGCAAACCCTGATTACGTTACACCACAGCACAGTGTGGACGCAAACACAGCCTTCGTTGTCAACGTACGTGTTACATATGATGCTGTGTGCACATTTAAAGTCTGCTCTCAGAAATCGTCTCCATGACGACCATCGCTGTAAATAGGAAGTACAGTGTTAAGCCACAGATCGCTTCTTTTATTTCCAGTCTCCGCTCTCCATCCACTCCCTCCATCCTGTGACCGTCCTTTATCCAAATAAAGTAATGAGTCCATCCATCTATCCATCCATCCAGGCTTTAATTCTGTCTCATATTTGTTTAAGAAATAAAAGCAATGAATAAATCTTAAAAGAAGGAAAGAAAAAAAAAAAATAATCCTTTGGAAGTTGGTCCACTCGTCCTTCTCTCCACCCATCTTATCTAGCTCTCCTTCTCTCCCTCTTTCCTCCCGCCTCACACGTAGACGGCAGTCCGCGAGATGACGGATCCGTCCCTCTGCGACTCCATGTCGTCGTCTAGGTAACCGCCGTCCATGTCCTGGTTGTGTGGGCGGAGCTGCAGGATGGCTCCGCCTGCCGTGAAGTGATCGTACCTTTCGTCCTCTTCCTCCAGCTCGTCGAACTTTCTGCGCTCCGCCTCATCCAACTCCCTGCTCAGCAGGATGTCCTGGGCGGTGGGCGTGGTCTCCAGCAGGGCGCATGGGTGCATGCTGTGATTGGCCGCCTTCTCCGAAAGCACCGGCTCCCCTCGGTAGATGGGCGTGTTGTTGTTGCCGTTGTTGCCGTTGGTGCCGTTCTTGTTGCTGCCGGAGCCGAAGAGGCGGGCCACCGAGTCGTAGGGCTCCGCCTTCGCCTTGCCGTTGCCGCGGTAACCCTGCTGTTGCCGGCGGTTGCGGGACACCAGGACGAAGATGAGCGCGCCAAACAATAGGAGGGCGAGGAGGACGCCGATGATGGCGCCTGCGACTACGCCAGCGTTGGTTTGGCTGGCAACATGGGCTTCTACGAAGAGGGGGAGGGGGGGGAAGAGAGGAGGAAAAGGGGGGGAAGAGTGAAGGAGGAAGTGTAGGAAGGAGGGGAGGAAGAGAGAGATTTCCAGACCTTTAATTTCATTTTCTCACAATGCAGAGGTGTAAAAATGCATCGTGTTGTAGCGTTTTTGAAGGTGGTGATTCGATTGCATGGATGGGAGGGGCTAAACTACTGTAGGGAGAATAGGTGGGTGTATGTAAATGTGTTGGTGTTTGTGACATCACTAATACAGTTTTTCAGGATATGGGCCCTTTAATAGCATAACAAACAGCTCTAAAAATGGCACAATGAATTTGATTCAATCACGATTCACTAAATCTTTCAGGAAAGAATCAAAACTGAATCTAATCACTGAGAGGTCAGACATTTACAGCCCTGCTGCAGAGCCATGTGACCGTGAGAGTGTGTGTGTGTGTGTGTGTGTGTGTGTGTGTACGTGTGTGTGTGTGTGTGTGTGTGTGTGTGTGTGTGTGTGCACGCACGTGTGTGTGACATTTCTCCTCAGCACCTCCTCAGGGAGAATTGTTCTCTGTAAGGCCAGTTTGTTGCATTCACACTTTAAAACCACCAAACCAAGACGGGAGGGGGAAAAAATGGCACAGCAACACAGCAGAGGAAAGAGCGGGTGGACGAATGGGATGGACAAATGGATAAATGGACGGATGGATGGATGGAGGGGAGGACAGGCTGATGGATGGACAGAGGGTAGAGAAAAAGAGGCTGTGATTGACAATGTGAGACAGCAGACAGACGAGTCAGCCTCCTAGCTACAAATATAGAACAGTATACAAACACACACAGCCCAATAACCCACAGTGAATAAGAGAGTGTGTGTGTGTGTGTGTGTGTGTGTGTGTGTGTGTGTGTGTGTGTTTCCGAGACAATGTGGTCATCTGCCAGTGTGTCCCTCACACATTCGAAAGGATTCAGAATGTAAACGGTCACGGAGAGCGGAACAGTCCACAGTTTGTGTGGATATGATCGGGTCTGACCAACATGATCATTTAAAGGAGCTTTAATTTTCGAGAGATTTTAAAGGAGATTTAATTTCACATAATCAAAAATAATATAGTAGCTATATTAATCTCAAATACCACTGGACTGAGGCTTAGATTTGATCAGAGATGGGACTAGAGTCGCATGCTGACTGACTCATGTTAACTGACTCATGACTCGACTTGCACCTGCTCTTACTTGACCTGAGACTTGACTTGGACCTGCCATTAATTGATCTACGACTGAACTCAGACTCACCCATAACTGACTCTCAACTCAGACTCACCCATAACTGACTCTCAACTCAGACTCACCCTTAACTGACCCCCCGGCTTAGACTCGCCCTTAACCGAGTCTCGACTCGGACTCGCTCTTTACTGACTCTCGACTCGGACTCGCCCTTAACCGACTCTCGACTCGGACTCGCCCTTAACCGACTCTCGACTCGGACTCGCCCTTAACCGACTCTCGACTCCGACTTGCTCTTAACTGAGTCTCTATTTGGACTCACCCTGACTTGCAACTTGCCTTGTGCTTAATTGATCTACAACTCGACTCGGACTCACACCACTGACTTACAACTCAACTCTGACTCATACTTAACCGACACACAATTTGACTCAGGCTTGCCCTCAAGTGACACTCGCCTTGACTCAGACTTACACTTGACTCATGACTCGACTATGACCCGCCCTTAACTGACTCTCAACTCTGACTCACCCTGACCTGCAACTTGGCTTAACTGATTGGGTAACTGATCTGCAACTCGATTCAGACTCACACCACTGACTCAGGACTTGACTCGGACTCATACTTAAGTGATTCACAATTTGACTCTAATTTGCCCTTAAGTGACACTCACCTCGACACAGGCTCACACCTGACCCATGACTCGACTCAGACTCGCCCTTAACTGACTCTCGACTTGGACTCACCCTGACTGCACGCTGACTGACTTGCGACTCGTCTCGGACTCGCCGTTAACTGACTCATGATTCGACTTGTACCTGCTCTTACTTGACCTGTGACTCAACTTGGACCTGCCTTTAATTGATCTACGACTCAACTCAGACTCCCGCTTAACTGACTCTCGACTCTGACTCGCCCTTATCTGACTCTCGACTCGGACTCGCAACTCTGACTCGCCCTTAACTGACTCTCGACTTGGACCCACCCAGACCTGACATGTGCTTAACTGATCTGCAACTGAACTCATGACCAGAATCTGACTCGCCCGTAACTGACTTTCAGCCCAGACTTGCCCTTAACTGACTCGTGACTCGATCCGTACTCGCTCTTAACTGACTTGCAACCTGACTTGGACTCGCCCTTAACCGACTTGCGACTCAGACTCAGACCCTCGACTGACTCGGTGCTCGCTAGCTAGATTACACATGGTTCAACAGTACGGTTGATTGTATCATGACTATGAATGTGGTTTTCTTATCTAACATATTATAAGAAACATTCAGAGCTTTATCAGTGGAATTTCCATAAAAACAACCCGGGTCAATCTTATCGACCCAGCGATACATCAGTGGGCTCCTGGTGCGCGAATAGGAGTGCACACAGGACCCCAGGGACCGCAGAGTGATGGTTAAATATGACATCACTTTCAGGGGAAAAAAAAATCTCCCTCGCTCTTTTTACATTCTTTCATTTCCTCCATCTGTCGTTCTCTCGTTTATGCTTGAGTCATTTCGTTCCTCCCTCGATGCTCTCCTGGCTCTAAGTGGGTGACACTGCCCTAAAAGCAAAGCTAAAACAGGAGCTCCGCTTTCGCACGGTCCCTTGGTACAAACGCACAAGAAACACGCTGTTTCTAATCGCACCATCACTCTGTACCCATCACCCCCACCTCCACACACACACACACACACACACACACACACACACACACACACACACACACACACACAGAGAGCTGTATCCGATGCGAAGCTTCAGGAGAGACTTCAGGAATGAGATTATGTCTGAGTTAGTCATTGTGTTCCTGTTTACACCCCACTGTAAAACTCCCTGCTTTCTCTCTTACGCAGTACTTCGAGTGGCCATTAAGTACAAGTTACACAAGTAATCCACTTCCATTTAAGGGGAAAGTCAAAGGAGGAAAAGCCGTCAATCCTCTGGGGTCTGAGGGCATTTTCTTTTTATTTTTAGCATATATTCTTAAATTCACTTCGAAAGGCTCTTGCATCAGATATGACACCCACATGTTATATAATAATATGTTCCAAACAATCTCAGTTCTCTCTGTAACGAGGCCCTTTTGACCTGGAGGACTGTGTAAAGAGATAATTCGGCCCTAAAGCTGAAAAACTGGAGTCCGGTTTCGGAAATTCTTAATATCGCTTGTGAAATGAACCAAAAATATCCAGCCAACAGCGTCCTGTGACCACTGACGAAGGACTAGAGGACGACCAACACAAACTGTGCAGCAGCAGATGAGCTATCGTCTCTGACTTTACATCTACGAGGTGGACTGACCAGGTAGGAGTGTCTAACAGAGTGGACAGTGAGTGGACACAGTGTTTAAAAACTCCAGCTGTGTCTGATCCACTCGTACCAGCACAACACACAGACACACCACCACCACATCAGTGTCACCGCTGAGAATGATCCACCACCCAAATAGTACCTGCTCTGTGAGGGTCCTGACCACTGAAGAACAGGGTAACAAAGTATGAAACAGATGGACTACAGTCTGTAACTGTAGAACTACAAAGTGCTCTATATGATCAGTGGAGATGATAAAATGGACAATGAGTGTAGAAACAAGGAGGTGGACCAGTCGGTGTATATATTGGTGAGTTTATATACATTTATACATACATACATACTCAAAACTTCTCGGTATCTCCCACGCTCCTCCCACTCTCCTTCTCCAGTCAGAATCAGTCAGTGCATCTGATTTACAATCAGAACTAAACCGAGAAACAGTGTGTGGATCAGTGAGTCGAGGCTGGGGAAGTTTCTGCTGTTCATTTGCGTCCTCTATATTGTTTAAAGAGAACATGCGGTCCATCTACAACATCCTGAAGCTCAGGCACAACAGACACATCCATGCGTCGCCCACACAGCTGCTGCTCCTACATACAGAACGCTGGCAAAAATCCCATTCAGCCTAGCGAGGAACTGTAGCGTGCCTCTCAGTTCATATCGATGTACATACATTTAGAGTGCTATTCATTTCAAATATTTATTTTATGTGTCCAAGGCCAAACTGCTGACACAGACCGGGTGTGACCTGTCGGGATGTGTACTTTACATCGTCAGGTACAAACGTGTGACTGATAAGTTTAACAGTATGTTCAGCAGCTTCAGCTGTTTAAATTCTGCTCGGGAGCCAAGACTCCAGTCCAACACAGTCACAGAGCAGCTTTACTTTACTGATGGCTTTACTGATATAAATTACTGTGCGTTCGCTTAGCCGATCAATCAGATGTTTATCGCTAAAAACCTCAGTTTCATGACAAAAACAACAACATTCACCCTATCAAATTTTAAATAAACATCATTTTAATGTAACTATTCACACCGAGTTTATGTCCTGTGATGAAAACTGAGTTGTGTGCTACAGTTTCTCAATAGGTTGAATGAGATTTTTGCCAAAGCTGGTTCAGCCTCGCAACAGTAGACTGGAGAGAGCGCGCTTGTGGGCGGGGCTTAAATAGATAAATTAACATTCCAGCAATGAGAGTGAGAAGAACAGGGCAGAACAAAGGGTGAGAGAGATAGAGTGAAAGAGCGAGAAAGAAAGAGACAGAGAGAGAGAGAGAGAGAAAGAAGGTAAAAGGAAGCAAGAGAGAAACACGGAAAGTAGTAAAGACAGAAAAGAGATAATGAAGAAAAAGAAGGAGAAAGTAAGAAAGAAAGAAAAAGGAAGACTGAACAAGGGAGAGAGAGAAAGAGGGAGTAACAAAGGAAAAAAAACAGAAAGTAAAGAGACAATAAAACAAACAAATAGAGAAAGA